TGTTGGTTTTAATCAGTAAAAATGTTTCAAGTAGTTTCATATACAGTTGTTGTATTAAGGTCATTGACTGATATTCTTTTGATGCATTTCATTTTTCTATACATTACCTTATCTTTTATTGTCACCGATGCGCCAAAGGTGATATTGATAATTGCGACTTCCTTGTGTTGCTCGTGCGTCAGCTTCTCATTCCATAGACACCAATGTAGTGGTGTGCGTCCATGCTGCAATGAAATGATAATCAACGTCAAGTTTGTTGAACACGCACAACACAAGAATATCAATTAACAAATATTACGCAAACGTAAAAGTACCTGAAATCATTTATAACTACCATAATTCATTAACGCCTACCGGTAATAATAGTGATACTTCAGTAATATTATAATAATCATAATCATAATATTGATGATAATAATAATAATTTTGATAATAATTACTATTCATATTGTTAATGATAATTAAAAAAAAAACCAATAATATGGCAATGCAAGAATGAAGTAGGTACCTGAATTAATGATGATGGTAATAAGTATTATGAAATTAATATTATAGCATAATACAGAACCTGTACTGTATTAATATTAATGGTAATAATATTGACAAAAATGTAGTAATGGATTGTGGTTTATTTTTGTTGTATTAATAAAACAAATAATAACAGTCAAGGTAGTCTCCCCTATTGAGCGGCAATATTTCTCAACAAGTTGTAAATAAAAAATAACATCTCAGTATTATAACCAAGAATATTACTAAATTAGAACGTGATGTATTGAATGTGTTTGTGAGTGAATTAATGTTAATTTGTTAGCAATGAATAAAGTGTTGTTTTCTTCTACTGTACTCACGACGTCTCGCGTGTTAATCTTCTTGTTGGTTTTTTCCAACACGCGTCTCATTGCTGACACGCGTGCGTTGGCCGCCAAGTCATGGAGAATAGTGGAACCAACAAAAGTACGCTACAAGACAAACGTAGAATATGATGAGAAAGAAATAATAAACAACAACAAGAAACTATACACACACCACATATCAACAACACATAACAACTCACAAACATCACACATACATTACTTATTACATTCATCATTATTAAATACTAATTACATTATTTAATATTTTTAAAATGTTGTTTTTAAGGCGAAATCGCGCAAAAAAATATTTGTATCAATTGGCCTATGTTTTACACACAGTAGTAAAATATTTCCAAATCGGGATTTTTAGCGACAATACTTTTTGTGAAAAATATCAATTTTATTGTCACCAATTTATTCAGTAAACTGTATTAAACAGAACAAATCCAAACATGACTATTTTTGTAAGTGTAAAATGTATTTTTTTCACAATATTTCATATGAATTAGTGATAATGGCCAGAGCATAGGCTTTTTCTGTGTTGTAAAAAATGTCAAATAAATCATGAAATAAAAATCCCATTTTTAACCCAACATGAAAAAAATCACAGTAATTGAATTTGAGTTATTTGTATGTCGTATGATGTGTACACATGCTGTGTGATTGTGATGTTTAAAATGCAATGATATTTAATTCTACTCACCCTCTCATGTTCTAAACACTTAACTGTTGCCGTTTCAATCATATTCTCCAACACATCATCTGGTGCTCCCCACTGCACAGCGTACATTAATGGCGTCCAGCCGTCCTACAAAACAAACATTACACTGAATTACGATACAGTTCATACAACTACCAATATTTTTTTTACGAGTTTCATAATTTAAATCGTACGATGATTTTCCTATATCATTTAGGAATTATTATATCATAAACAGTTAAAAATGTGTTTTATAATACACGCATTCATTTGAATTAATTTTATTAATTTTATTTACCATCAATTTTTGGTCATTTTTTCATAATTATTAAGAGTTAAAATAAGAATAACAAATCACAATAATATTATTTAGAAGTGATTTGGAAAAGGGAGTAGGGTTAAAATGTCTAAACATAAATGTATAATTTTTGAGCCATGATTTGTGTTTGGTATGTTTAAAAAAATGATATTAGCATGCCTATGTTTTGTCAGTACAGCATAGTAGGCCTTATGCCTTGTAAATTGTTCGTGCGTGAACTCTGTATTAACATTTTATAAATACATGAGAATACTTGACAACGGTGCGTGTAAAATTGTTTTAGAATTGGTGTCTGTGTTTTTCCAAAGTGCGGTA